GGTCGCCGTAGGTTGTAGGCTGTAGGGAGATTCGAACTGTAGACCTGTAAGGTAGGAGTCCAAGTAGAGTCCAGAGGCCTAGCTGTAGTCCTTCTAGAAGGTCGGCAAGTGGTCAAGTGGTGAGTCTAAGGTAGGCCCACGTTTTCAGACGAAGACAAGTGGCAAGGTCAACAGGTAGAACCTCAGTGCAACTGCACTGAGTCGACGGTACGACTGCCTACAGTCAGCAGAAGGGTCAAGAGAGTCCCAGTCCAGTCCAGCAAGTACCACAGGGGGACTGTGAGCACCAAGGGCCGATGGCAAAGGGCAGACCAACGAATTTCTGAAGTATAAATCAAGAGGCAGCGCCCAGCCATTGATTSATTCCGGCGTGAGCCATGCGGAAGCGCTGCCACAGCGACTTGTGCAAGGAGGTCTGCAGATGAGCCMGGAGGACGCAGTGGGCTAGAGAGAGGGAGTTAGCATAGCGATAGGGTAGATGCAGCGACAGGTGCCATAGCTGTAGTTAGTAGTGAGTGTGTGTGTGTGTTCGAGTGTTAGAGTGATGCGTGTGGGATATCCAGGGTGATCCAGTGTATGTGAACAGTGAGATGTTTGGGCGCTGAAGTCGCCATAGCCAATTGAGAGTGAACTCGTATCTGAAAGCCATACATCTGAGTTTTGAGTGGGCGCATTTCGCCAGTATGCTGCGTTGCTGTTTACATGCATGAAAAGTGTGTTTGAGAACGAGTCTGATTGCAATACGTTCGAATCCTGTCACCTTGAGTCAAAGTCAGAGTAAATTGACATGAAACTTGGTGAAAATCAGTTGACCATTATGATGGGCATTGATGGCATTATCACCTCATATTACTATTTGATATTTATAAGCCACAATTAACTTTTCTCTATTTTTCATAGAATTTGTGGTGCTTTTTTTTTAGCTACTAGCCTACTACTGTTATATTTAGTAATTCTTTTTTTTTTTTCAAAATCTGTGAACTTAGTCTGACTTTTAGTAAGTTTTTAGTACTTTTTACCTCTTTTATATTTGTTTGTTTCTTACTTCATTTGATGCGAAGCAATCGATCTATTGCTGTAGTCCCCCAGAGGCCTGTTTGTTTAAATAAACTGTGTCCGCTCCCATCTCTATTCTATTTCAATTAACGCACACCATACGTAATAAGAAAGATGGTGTTCGCTATAGCGGCGGGTAAGCATGTAGATGGCGAGCCTAGGCCGAACTCGGATATCGGCTGCACAGAGGTCGCTTTCTTGATGATCAGGTCATCCAGTGTCCAAGTATACCACTACCGGTAGATAAGGCGGCCTTTCTCATCTTAAGAGCAAGGTGCAACGATGGTCAACTCTTCTTTAAGACGGCACAGCGTAAGCAAATTCCACTGTGTCAGGCACGCCACAAAGGTTACTCAGGTTGGAATATCCACTTGTGGAGTATCGAAGGTAAGGGTGATTTAGCAACAAGCACATAACCCTGTACTATCTGCATCCTGTTTTGTGTTCTTCTCGTCCTTCTGCCCTCAGATGGCGATTTCCTACCATATGAGGTTGTTCTTGCTCTGAATCGAGCGAAGCCATGGAATGTTGGAATTGTTATCCTTTTTTTTTTTTTTTTTTTTTTGAGTGCTCAATCTATTTGTGGGGAACAGCATGTGCTGGGAACTGGGCCCAGCGTCCCTTATAATGGAAATACATTGATGATTGATGATAATTGAAGATAATTTGGGATGATTCAGGATGATTGAGGTCATGAAATAGAGTGGATGATTGAGGTCATGTTATAGAGCTAGATGATGACTAATCAGAATGATTGTCTACTCAGCACTCAAAAACTATCCTATCCCTAATTTCCTGTATGCATTCCAACCAACCAATCAAAACTTAGCCTGTCCTGTGCACCAATCAGGCCTCTTCCCAGTCTCACACCCCAATCTGGCTCGGTTACAGGGTTGCGCTACCCACCCCAGCTCCGACCATGGTCCCCAGATTGTAGCCATTAGTCAAGTTTGCAGATTGCCTTCCTCCCTCGGCAATCCCAGACCTCTACACAAAACCTCAAGCTCCTACTCAAGCAGGTTACAGGGCACTGCCCCAGTGCCGGCCAGCGTCGTTCTGGCGCCAACTCAACCTGGCCATTACACAAAAAGGCTCAATTAGGAAATTAGCTAAGCTAGAATGCCAACTAGAAATCTAGGATCTGATAATATCAGAATCCTGATTAAAAAACATTTCTGATGATAAAATTTACCGAGTAGTAGCGAATACCCTTAGATGATCACAAAGATGATGGATAATGATGACGATGCTGATGATTATTCCTCTCCACCCCACCCCTTCCTTCATCCTCTTCCCTCGTTTCCCCTTCTCCTCTCGCTGCCTCCGTTGAGCCGAACCCCGCTATTGGCATGAGGTTCCTATCAGCCCCAACGAAAGAGAGCACCTACACATTCCCTTCTACCTTGAGGTAACCAGTTCCCCCAAAAGGTGTATCTCAAAACTAACAGTCTGACCTGGTCTGCCTCTGCCAGGAGATAATGCACCCCCGTACGTATCTCCCAGTCCCAGCCCAGGTCAGCTCCCATCATCTGCGTCTACTCCCTGGAGGGCAATCACCTCCCACCTTGTGTTACCCCTGCGGGGTAGCGCTCCTTTCCTGGCTGACCTACCTACCAACTAGACCATAACCTATCTGGGTGAAGAGAATATTACCATCAACACAGAGATGATTACTGATTGATGAAAACATGAATAAAGAAACCGTGATGATGATGATGATGATGATGATGATGATGATGATGATGAAATAAAACTGGCAATAAATTAGTACGGAAGGTTTGACTTGCGATGCCCTAATGGCACCGATGTGGAAGATTGACATCTCACTATTGCTGTAATGAAAATAGAAGATGACGACGATTACGATTTTGACGGAGATGATGATCATGAAGAAGATAAGGAAGCGAAGTGCTGATGAGGACCAACCACCATCAACAGCTAAATGCAGATGGCAACCAGCGGCAAAAAAAAGATGCGGGTGATGCGGATGACGAGCAGCTTTGATGTGTGCAGACAACCAGCGGCAATGTCGATGATAAACCAACGCTTCGGCCGAAAAAAACCTACATAGGACTGAAGAAGAGCTCCCTTGATGATGATCTCGCCGGCGATCCTCCTGCTGTGATGATGCTCCAAGCTGGTCCAGCGTTCTCCACACTTTGGTTCCACGGGGCTGACTCCACTTTCTTCCACTGACGCCAATTTTCGCCAATTCGCTCGACTGCTCCAGCCTCTATAAGGCCATTGGCTATGGAGTACTTGACGTGGAAAGCACAGGGGAAATGGACAAACATCAACTTCAACCACCATTCTCCCTTTTCCATAATGCCTCAGGTCAGCCGCCACATCAGCCTGTGACGTGGATTGGCCAAGCACCTCTGGATGCCACCCCTGCATTAAGCGCTATCGACAGATCCTTCTATCCCCTCACAGCATCCTCATGCCACCGCGTTGCCACACACTACCTGTCAGCACCATGCCACATGGACGAAGCCATCACCACGCCATCCGCCAGTCGCCAGTGCCTCGTAGCCAGCGCCTCGCTGCCTTCAAACCACCAGCGCCCCGCTACCAGCGCACAACCAGCGCCTCGCCACCGATGGCTGACCAGCGCCCCACCAAGGGCACGCTGCCAGCGCCACACCTCCAGCATGCACGTTGACGTCAGCATGCTCCGCCATTGCACGAGCGCTAATGCGAGCCCCTCCAGCATGGGGGGAAGTGAGTACCTTCTTCCGGCCTCGGACTTGTTATCCTAATTGTTCATACTGTACTACGGCACAGCTTAGTTGATAACCTGTGGACTTAGTTGTAAAGGTACTCAGGGCTGATGGAGGATCATGGGAGGACACCCTGCTAGGTTGTTGCAAAAATATGGAGGCGGGTGGAAACCGTGGAACCAAAAGAATAGTCGAAAAAGAAGAACACAATTCTTTTAAGCTATAAGATATTGAGGCCTTTGGTCTGCTCGCCATGTTATAACGTCTATTGGAGTATAGCCAAGTGGGGAAGGCCTCGGTTTTTGATACCGAAATGCAAAGGTTCGAATCCTTTTACTCCGATGATTCCAGAGATTGCGCGAGTCTCTCGCCAAAGGCCACGAGTAAATAGTGTCCAGGATCTTGAATTAGTGGGCGCGTTCTCAAGGATGCACCTGGCGGCACCCCGCGCTTGCCTTCGGCCTACGGATCCGTACGTAAACCACCAGTACACCTGGGCCTGTAGGCCCCTTACTGCGAGCCAAGCTTTTCCGAACCACCGGTGGTGCACTTTTTTTCTTGTTTGGCTGGCGCCGCTGCCAGGCATCGTGGTCCGGTAGGCCGAGCCTCCAAAATTCTTGTAGGCTACGAGTTTCTTTTTCAGTAAGGCTGGGGCCGTACTAAAACAACACGTACAAAAACTGCCCATGCTACTGATATACGGCCGGCCAAATCCAACCGTGAGGACGTACTCACAGCAGGGGACTTTTTGAGCTCATCTGTGGACAGAATTGCGGTCAGACAGACACATCCGAGGCTTGGCGCCATTCCGATCCGAAACATCCAGGAAAGTGCTACCAGTGTTTGAGTATACCTTCAGACTTTTGACACTTAAAAATTAAAATAGATCCGAACTCTTAATGTTCAATCTTCAAATTTCAAAAGACCCCCGAAAACTGCGGATGAGGTCATTTTCCCAACTGGGACTACAGCTGTGAAAGGTAGTGGTGGTTTACAACAAAAAAAAAAAAAAAAAAAAAAAAAAAAAAACAGAGAAACCAGCTATTGAGTCTAGAATCAAAGTTTAATGTTCAAACTGTGGACTTTTTGGGGTATGAAGTTTTGTACTTTTAAGTTTTAATCAGGTGTGCTGTGTTGGTTTCTCGGTTTTCTCCATTTTATCAACAGTTCCGATGATTGCTGAAGTTTCATCTCCTTGTTGCAACCTGATATGCTCTGTGGTAGGCGCTGTTTGACTTGGAATCCTTTAAAGAAAGAGCTGAAAGAGAAAAGGCTGAGAGCGAGGCACGGTTCGGCGAACAGACGCTAAGGTTGCAGGAGAAAGCGGACGAACTGGACAGACAGGTCTGTGTACCGCCAAGGCTCCAAGCATGAATGCATGCGTATTATTGCACGTGCACATACGACACAAGGGGCAGATTTTCTGGGTTGGGCCAAGGAATTTGTTGAGTTTTAAATTTGCATACTGTGTTTTATGAACTTTTATCATTTTACGGTCATCTCATAACTTCTCGTAAGACTCATTGCTTACTTCGGTACTTGGGATAAATGGTAAATAGTAAATAGTAAATAGCAAAATGGTAAATACTAAATAGTAAATCAGTAATTTCCATGGTTACACTGGACCCGGACACCGGACCAGTCCAGACGTCCAGCCGGACTTGTGTCTGGACTGCTCCAGACCGTCTGTATTGAAAAAAAGTTAAAAAAAAGTAAAAAAAAAACTTTAAAAAAATAATTAAAAAAAACATTCTTATTTTTGTTCCTTGGACTTGGTTACGAGTTTTGAGATGGTCCTCAGCCAAAAGATTTTTGTGTTGCGATGCTGCAGAACATATCCTTTTTTTTTGAGATTTTTTGGGGGGGGTGGGAGTGGTGGTGGGGGGGGGGGGGGGGGGGGGGGGGGGGGGGTTGGATCCCGACACTCTGGACCGGACACCAGACCCAGGCAGCCCGACCCAAACTGTCTGCACAGCGGTGCAGATGTTCGGAATGTAACCATGGTAATTTCATCGTCTTTTTTTAAGTGATCCGATGGTCTAGAATCTAGATTTTAGAGTCTAGACCCATGGGCCATTGGGCTTTGTTTTTCTTTATTTTGAAAGGCGCCGGCCTTGAGATATCATATCATCATTGCACTGACTGCCTCCGGGTATTTCTGAATTCTTTTGTTCTGTTTGTCTGGTTGCATCTGGATTGCAGCTTGGGTCTGTATTTCTTTTCTTTTCGTTTTTTTTTTACTTTTTTTACTTTTTTTACTCGCTTTTTCTCTCCTCTTTCTTCTTCTTCTTCTCGCTTTCCTTTCTCCTTGAAACGGTATTCACCAATTCGTGGTAGCTGAGGCAGATCCCAGGGCTTCATCCCTAGTTCCCCAACTTACCTGTGTATAATATCTACGTCAACTCGAAGAGTTGAACCTGCGACCTGTAGATCCGCCAGTGGTAGGTAGATTGGTCGTAGGGCACAGGATAGACTGGAATCGAACTGTAGACCTGTAGGGTAGAAGTCTAGGCAGCTCCGGAGTTGTAGCTGAAGACTGCCTGAAGAGTCAAGGTCGTAGCTGCTACTTACCTGAAAGGGCAAAGTCGTAGCTGCTACAGTACCGAAAGGCCAACTTAGAGAGTTCTAGAAGTGGCCTTTCGGAGTCAGTCCCTGTTAGGTGCAGGCAAGTGGTCAAGTGGTGCAGGCAAGTTGTCAAGTGGTGCAGGCAAGTGGTCAAGTGGTGCAGGCAAGTGGGCAAGTGGTGTGACTAAAGCAAGCCCATGTTGGAGAGAGTCCAGAAAGTACCAGTCCGGTCCAGCAAGTACCAACGGGGGAACTGTGTGCACCATGGGCCAGGGACACAAGGCAGACCAATGCAGCACAGAAGTATAAATCAAGAGGCTGCGTCCATTCATACATTCATTCCTGCGGATGCCATGCGGAAGCGCT